AGAATCCCATAAAAACAAAACCATATATATATATATATATATATATATATATATATATATATGAAATTAGGAGAAAAGAAACTAAAAGATAAAAAGGGATTAAATTTAAAAAAGAGTGGGGCAGTTCCAGCACTCGGGAGGCAGACGCAGAGGTAGGCAAGTTCAAGGCCAGCCTGGTTTACAGAGCGAGTGCCAGGACAGGCTCCAAAGCTACACAGAGTGCTGGGATTAAAGACATGTGCCACCATCGCCCTTCTGCCTGGGTCCACCATAAGATAAGTCTTTATGGTTGATACTTAAGACTGAGCTAGCAAAAAAGAAATCCTAGTCAAAGTTGGGCGGTGGTGGCACACCACCTTAATCCCAGCACTTGGGAGGCAGAGGCAAACAGATCTCTGCAACTTCAAGGCCTGGTGTTGGTGGTGCATGCCTTTAATCCCAGCACTCCAGAAGCAGAGACAGGCGGAAGAGAAAAAGAAATGACTTCCTTCTTGCCCCTGCTTATATATGAGTCTACCTGCTATGTCACTTTCTGCTCGTAGCACAAGAATTCCTTTTACTACATTTCCCAGAATTCTCCTTACCTCCTAGTCCCACCTATCTTGCTTTTCTATTGGTCAACAGTACTTTATCAACCAATAAGACAAACATATATACAGAAGGACCTCCCCTATCAGGCTGGATCCTTTTTTTCTGCCCTTTAGCCCTGCCTATCCCTCCTCTGCCTAGCTATTGTCCATTCATCTTTTTATTTGACCAGCCAGGTGCCTTAGTCATGCAAGGTGAAACAGCAACATATCTTTTCATAGTTAAAAAAATATAGCATAAACAAATGCAACACATCTTTACATAGTTTAACAATTACTCTGCAACATAAACAACATAAACAATGCAGCATATCTCTTCTTTCTTCTCTCGTTTTTTTTATTAATTTGTTTTTTACATTCCAATCCCAGACGCCCCTCTCTCCTTTCTTGCCACTCCCTTCACTCCCCCCTCCTCCCATCTGCTCCAGGGAGAGGGTAAGGCCTCCCCTAGGAAGTCTACTAAGTCTGTCCCATCATCTAGTTGAGGCAGGACCAAGGCACCTCTCCAACGCCCCAACACACACCCCTCTGTCTAGGCTGGGCATGGTATCTCTCCACATAGAACGGGCTCCACTAAGTCAGTTTGTGCATTAGATCTTGGACCCATTGCCAGTGGCCTCATATATTGTCCCAGTCACACCATTGTCACTTATATTAAGGATTTGGTCTTATGCAGGTTCCCCATTTGTCAGACCTGAGTCACTGATCTCTCACTAGCTCCGGTCAGTTGATTCTGTGGGTTTCACCATCATGGTCTTGACTCCTTTGTTCATATTATCACTCCTCCCTCACTTTGATTGTACTCTAGGAGCTTGGCTCATTGGTTAGTTGTGGATTTCTGCCTCTGTTTCCATCTGTTTCTGGAAGAGGGTTCTAGCTTCTCTGGGGTTGTGGATTATAGGCTGGGTATCTTTTGCTTTATGTCTGGTGTCCACTTTGAGTGAGTACATACTATATTTGTCTTTTGGTTTTGGGTTACCTCACTCAGGTGTTTTTTTCTGGTTCTGTCCATTTGTCTTCGAATTTTAGGATGTCATTGCTTCTTACTGCTGAGTAGTACTCCATTGTGTAAATATACCACATTTTCTTTTTTCCTTCTTTTATTTAAATTAGAAACAAACTTGTTTTACATGTCAATCCTAGTTCCCTCTCTCTCCCCTCCTCCCCTGCCCCCCACCACCAGCCCCCTATCCCATTCCCTTTCTGCTCCCCAGGGAACTGGGGAGACCTTTCATGGGGGATCTTCATACTCTGTAGGGCCTAAGCCCTCCCCAATGTGTCTAAGCTGAGAGAGTATCTCTCTATGTGGAATGGGCTCCCAAAGTCCTTTGGTATACTAGGGATAAATATTGATTCACTACCAGAGGCCCCATAAATTGCCCAGGCCTCCTAACTGATACCCATGTTCAGGGGGTCTGGGTTGGTCCTGTGCTGATTTCCCAGCTGTCAGTCTGGGGTCCATGAGCTCCCCCTTGTTCAATGACTTAAAATCTTAAGGGAAGAAAACAGTTGTACTAATGTGAAACTTCATGAATATTAAGTCAGTGTGAAATTTAAGTGGATAATATTTATCTAATCAGTTGATGGGGTGGGTGCTAATGTATGTTCAGGCTTGGATTTGTGGGCAGTCATTCTTTTATAAGAGAAAAGCCAGTCTTAAAGAAAATCTGAGAGTCAAAATTTCTCTTGTTCTTATTCCATGCAGAGCCAGGTTATGAATCATATTTGTCCTAAACAAGATTTCATCTCAAGTAAAATCAAAGAGTGCTGCTCTCCTATGGTGTGTGTGTGTGTGTGTGTGTGTGTGTGTGTGTGTGTTGTCATTTTGCTTCAGTTGCAGCTGATGAAACATGAACCACAGAACTCAACATAACCCACATGGAGTTTATTGGGGAAAGGGAACAAAGAGAGGGGTAGGTGTTAGCTAACTGGGAACAGAGATGGAAGAGAGAAGAAGAAGGGGAAAAGGGGGGAAGGTGGAGGGAGAAGGGTGAAGACAGAGTTTCTTTCCACCTAGTCTCACCACTCTTCAGTCCCAGATGAACATACTGAGGCTTATATTAATCATAAACTGTTTGACCAATGGCTCAGGCTTCTTATTGGCTAGCTCTCTCTTGATTGTTAACCCATTTCTATTACTCTGTGTATCTCCAAGAGCTCTTGGCTTACCCAGTGATGCCTGGACCTCTTGCTTCCTTGACAGCTACATGGCACCTCTCTGGTGGCTTTCTGCATTCCTATTCCCAGAATTCTCCTAGTCCGGTAGCCCCACCTGTACTTCCTGCCTGGCCACATCCTGCCTGTCCATTGGCTGAGACAGCTTTATTCATCAAACAATAAGAGAAACATATTCACAGCATACAGAAGGACATCCCCCATCAAAATCCCTCCCCTCCGAGCTCAGGGAACTCTGCAGAAGAGGGGGCAGGAGAATGTAAGAGCCAGAAGGAATGGAGGACACCACAGAAACAAGGTCTTTGAAATACTACAGGTCCAATGAAGATATGAAAATTTTTTTCTTCATTCAAGTGAGGCATACTTCAATTTGTCATCTAATATAAAGAATAAATAAAATGGTAAATTAAAAATAGTGAATATGACATTCTTTTGTGTCACTGTTACAAGGGGCTATGCCATGCATCTAGTTACAAAGGGTTACTCCACACATTCTATCTTTACAAAGGGCTACACCTTACATTCCTATTCTTGGCACAGCCCTTTTCATTTTATACTTTCACTGACTAATGTAGAGACTACAACGTCTTGTCTGTCACTTACTAGAGTAATTTTAGAATACTACTTATACAACTTATGGGTCTCCTTAAGCCTGATCCTGACTACACTTTTTTTTCTTTCCAGGTTTTTTATTTGAATTAGAAACAAGATTGTTTTACATGTCAATCCCAATTCCCTTCTCCCTCCCGTCCTCCTCTACCCCGCCAACTAAAACCCTACCTATCACATATCCTTTCTTCTATTCTTCCCCTGACTCAACCTTTCTGCTCTCTCATGACCTCTGTATCCTTCCTCTTCTCCCCTTCTCCTTCTCATAGCTCCCTCCCCCCTCTTCCCCTGCTCTCAATTTGCTCAGGGGATCTTGACCCTTTCCCCTTCTCCAGGGAACCATGTATGTCTCTCTTAGGGTTCTCCTTGTTTACTAGCTTCTCTGGCAATGTGGATTGTAGGCTGGTAATCCTTTACTCTATGTCTAAAATCCACATATGAGTGAGTACATACCATGTTTGTCTTTTTGTGATTGGGTTACCTGGCTCAGAATGGTTTCTTCTAGTTCCATCCATTTTCCTGCAAATTTCAAGATTCCATTGTTTTTTTCCACTGAGTAGTACTCCATTGTGTAAATGTACCACATTTTCTCTATCCATTCTTCGGTTGAGGGGCATCTAGGCTGCTTTCAGTTTCTGGCTATTACAACTACACTGTTTTATCAAAATGGATTCATAATATGCACACACACACTCATGCAGAGGCACACACACACAAACGGGCATGCTGCCTGTATGTATTGTTACTCGGAGGCTCTGCTTGAGCTCAGCTCTTGATGAGTAGCTTCCACGAGTTACTCAGGTTTGCAGTATGAGGGCAGGCACAATACAATACCCACTACTATTTGAAAAGCAAATGGGTTGGTCTCCCGCTATGTCCATGTGATCTTGCTAAAGAACCTGATACCGTGCTTGTACTCCCCCGAAGTCAGGGACAGGGAAAGAGGGAGAGAATATTCTGATTCTGCTAATCACCTGGCCTTGAACAGTGCAGAGCCATTTCTTTCACGACATCAAGCACTGCCACCCAGATACTCAGATCATTGCTTCCTCCGTTCTTATCTGATCTTTCACCAGGAACCAAACGGAATGTTCAGACTCAGGCCAGGCACAGGGTGCCAAGAACTGATTCACGATTTCAGCTGTCATGTCTTCCCCTCTGTGACATCAGTCTACATTCCATGTGTCTGTATTCTCTGAGCATAGTAGGATCAGGGAAAACGCCACCACCTGGATGGCGTATAAGATGACAGAGCTTTTTAGTCAGAGAAACCAGCAATGAACTTGAGATAAGTGTTAATTTTGTCACTCAGCACCAGGAAATTGGTAAAAGCTGACTAGTTTCTTTATTCCCTAGCACTGGGCTTCTGGCAAGGCTGATCCAACATCATTAGCCCACACCCAGAACTGGCCAGTGTCCCAGAGATGTGGAAAACAGTGCACTGGATAACTGAATTGTGGTGGGCTGCTTTGAGGCAGTGAAAACTACAGAGCCCTCACTCTGGCAGCAGCACAGAGCGGCCTCAGAACAGCAAGTGCAAGAAGCCACACACAAAGTGTTCGTCCTTAGTGACTCCGTTTATATGGCTTTCACAGTCAAGTATGCTCTTGATTTCACAATCAAGTTTCACAATCAAACTTGCTCTCTAGAAATGAGGGTGATGGTTGGTGTGGAAGGGTGGACAGTGCCTGCTAACAGGAAGAAGGAGACTTTTTAGAAAGTTCATAATGCTTTATTACTTGATCAATGGTGCCAGTTACATGACCTTGTTTATTTTAGAGGATATGTGTTGAGGTTTATACTTAGAATTTAAGTACATTCCTATATTCATGGGCAACAAAATTTTTAAGAAGCCTATAGTGTAGGGATCATTTTTCCATTACTGATTGTTCTATGTATTAACTTCAGGTTGCAATAACTGTGTAATATGCTAAGTCATAGGGTCATTTTAACATACACCTGAACAGCACCAGGATTTCTGGAAGTACTGTTATCTCAGGGATATCATGACCATTTGGGATGGCTTTATCTTTTTCTTCTCTTCATACTTTTCCTTTCGTGTTGGGACGGTGTCCCAGTTCATGGAGGTAATGGCCATCAATGATCTCTTCATGGATCTTACAAACACAGCATCTTCAGGGTCATCAAACACTGTCCTGCAAAGGTAGCAATTATATAAAAAACAAGCAGGCCTGACCAACAGGATTCTGTGTGTGATTTTGTGTGTATTGAGGATGGCGTCCAGGGCCTTAGGCATCATACAGAAGTACTTTACCTCCAGGGAACACCTAAAGCCCTGAAGCTTTTACTTAAATGAATAAATTTGTTTAAGTCCCCACCAATATTGTAGGTTTTCGGGCCTTGACTTTCAGGCCAAGTGATGCAATTTTTATTGTGTGCATGGTCCTTTTAAAATGGAGTGTCTGGATATATTTCAGGATCTATTATAAAAGTCTCACATACTCATGAATTCATAGTGGAAAACTGTGAAATAAACTGGAAATACTTTTTGGTATCATGCATACTAATAATGTAAACATTTTATTTTGATGTTACTTCCCTACATATTTTATATGTGATGACAATATTTTTTTAACATTGAACCCAAAGAAAACATTCATACATAGAAAAGTAATGGTTTTTGCATTCATTCGTATTCATGAATTTGAAATGTACTCTGTAGAATTAATGAACTATTTCCTTTAGGAAATGTAAATTCTAGTGAATGTAAATGTTAATCTATATGATAATTGCTTTTACTGAGTATATTTAGAGGCAAAGCAAACAAGCCAAGATCCTCATTTGGAAAAGCTAACAGTTCTTAACAAGTATTAATATTTTATACATCTAATCACTTGCTCATTTATTAATGTCAAAAAACATAACTGGAATTCATTTGTCAAAGAAAAGCAACCATTTTTCTGTCTATTGAAAGGCTCATATCTTTTAATTAATTAAAATCTATTTTAGAAGATAGAGATAATTTAGAAATGAGACAATTATGAAACAGTCTGACAATGAAAGAAAAGATGTAAATTGTTTTTAAAAATAACACTTACTTGTCAACATTATCTCCAAATGCAAAATCTAAAAATAAAATTCTAAATTAGTATTTTTCAAACATTTGGTCACCAATTAAAAATAATGAGACAACATTGGGTTTCTTTCCAAATTAATGGACAAAAATGTCTTCATAACTAGCGTAAAACTAAAATTTTCCCTTAGGTGAGTCATTTTGCTTTAGGTTTTGTGGCAGTCTTTAACATAAGGCAAATCTCAGAGCCCTGAAAACAATGTGCTGAATCAGTTTATCGGCCAGTGGAGTCCAGCTAGGGGCTTTTGTAAGCAAGGTTCACACACAGAAGGAATCCTTTTTTAATTCTGATGAGTATATGAATCTGTAAGATAATAGTCAAGGCAAGTAGCTAAGGCCATCTCTGCCATTTGGACTCTTGGCATGAACTTCAAAGAAAGAACAAATCCAAGATCACAAGACTCTGTGTTCCAAAGCTTTAGTGCTGAAGGGCCAGACCTCAGAGCCCGGGGCTCTTGGGGTATCTCCCAGTCTACCATGGCCTTGTTTATTCCTCTCCAGAAGGCCTGGTATCAGGCCAAAGAGAACTTTCCCGCACCTGTTGGGTCACTAAACCCTTTAGCATGAGCTCTTGCCAGTCCACAAGAGAAAACACAGCCAAGAGCTTGTGGCATCATGCCTTTCACAAGTGGCTGCCCAAATCTCCTGGCCTTTCCTGTCTTCCCATGGTCTTGTCCTCCCTCTCCACAGGGTTACTGAGAAATAATTGAAAAGTAACAATTGCACAGATTGATGGTATGCTACTACATATTTTGGTGCATGCGTGCGCGTACACACACACACACACACACACACACACACACACACACACAATGTGAAATAATAGTTAATTGACATGTCACAGCCATTTTCTTTTCTAGGTATGCATATGGTGAGTACACTTAGGGTCCCCCCCCCATTTTAGCAGATTGTTAAGCATAATCACATTACATTAGATCTCCAGAATTTGGTCATCACCAACAGTTGGCACTCTTCTTTGACCCAGAGCTCCTCATCTCTCCCTCTGACCAGCAAAGCCCCTATTCTAACAGTGATTGTCTGGTTCAGTGAGACCATAGGGCAATAAAGAGACTCCCAGGATCCTGACGTGGTGTCTACATGAGTGCTCACAGGTGTGCACACCCTTGCAGTTATGCACACACACACACACACACACACACACACACACACACACACACACACACACACACACACACACACCAGCTTTATTATCATTCCACATTACAACTTCAGGGATGTTTGCATGTTCTGGTTTTTTAAGACATGGTTTCTCTGTGTAATAGCCATCGTTGTCCTGGAACTCACTCTGTAGACCAGACTGACCTCGAACTCACAGAGATCCCCCTGCCTCTGCCTCCTAAGTTCTGGGATTAAAAGTGTGCACTGCCATTGCCTGACCGACAACATTATGTTTTTAAGTACTACAACTATATCAGGAAATGAGTCTAGAGTGGCATAGTTTGTATTGTATGGATGTCTGCTAATACAATATCCACCATGAAAAGCCATTAGAGATTTTTTCTGCATTTACTATCATAAAAGGTTTGTTTTTCTTGCCCATGTGTTCACATACTTGTGTAGCAGAGTTTTGAAATTGCATCCTTATGTCAAATGATGAAAGGTACTGCAGCTCTGTCTCCAAGCAAGTTGACCTAGATAATGGTTTCAAAAAACAGCACAGACTGTGCTTTCATCCCCCTCCTCCTCTTATTCCTTTAAAGATTTTTCCTCTGTGGTGGATTAAAATGGTACCCCACTGCTTTGGTTTGCACTTCTTTGGCTGTAAGTGATGATACTAACTGTATTCATTTCTTACTTTCTGGAAATGACTTGTTTATGTTGTCATTTAATCTACTGGGGTTTTATTTTGTTTGGATTTTCCATCGCCTTCCTCCTCCTCCTCCATCTCCCCCTCTTCATCTTCAAATGTGTGTGTGTGTGTGTGTGTGTGTGTGTGTGTGTGTATGTATGTGTTATGTATAAGTAGGTGTACTCACCTGCGTGTGCATGGGTGGAGATGCTATATAGGTTTACATAGCTACACTCACCATGTGTGTGTATGGATTGAGGCAGAGTCCCTCTCCTGGTGTCCTCCTCCATCACTCTCCACCTTATCTTTGAGACAAGGTTTTCATGGAAACTGAAGTCCACAGTTTCAGATCCAATGGCTGGCCAGCAAGCCTTGGGGATCTGACTGTCCCCACACTGCCTTTTCTCCCTCCAGTGCTGGAGTTATGGGCACATGCTGTCACTAAAGACTTTTCACTGGTCCTGGGAATCCTAATTCAGGTCCTTGTGTTTGCCCAGAAAGCCCTTCACTCACTGATCCATCTCCCCAGCCCATTGTGAGTTTTGCTGTTATTTGTTTGTTTTTACAGTGTCTTATTCTATATCCCAGGCTGACCTGGAACACATCGTCCTCCTGACTCAGCCTCCTCAGACAGGAGTGCATCATGCCCTGCCCTGCAAGAAGTTTTTGTTTTTGGTCTGTTTCTCTTTTGGTGCTAGAGATCAAACTGACTTTGGGCATGCCTGGCAAGCACTTTGCCACTGGCATCATCCTTAGCCCTCCTACTGCGATTAAATGGAGTTGTGAAAGTCCGTTAGGGATTACGGGGCTTAATTTCCACCTGTTGTATGTTGCAATGCTTTTTCTACTTTGTGTTTTAGTTTGGGCCCTGTGGTGCACCATAGCCTTTGTTTATCTGTAGATAAATCTGTCAATGTAAAGTTCCAGTATCACAGAACTTTACAACAACTCTAATTAGTCCCTGTGTCCTTTGCTTTGTGAGAAAAATAGATCTGAATGTATGTTACATAAAGTAAGTGCCAACTAAGAAAAAGACCGAAATTATTGGTAATATTTCTATGTGACACCTCAGATGGGAGTATAGCCAAGATATTGAGAGTGCTAATTTCTGACTGGTAAAATTGCAAAGATCTTCATTCCTTCTTAATATTTTTCCTATGTCATAAAAATGTCTACCCTTCATTGAGAAAACTGTTTTGTTTGGTTGGCAATAACAATGACATTGTGGTTTGGTCCTTCTTACTGCACTGGATACTGGAGAAGGGTGGCAGTGTATCCCGTCATTATTGCCATACTACCTCAGATAATGTACATGAGTGAAGATGAAAATTATGTTATTCACTGGATCAGCAGTGAAAATATGAAGTTAAATATAATACCAGAAAGTAAGTAGAAGTTGCAATTATTAGGACAATCAGGTGTTCCTAAGGCTTACCCAGTTTTAATCTCATTTACCTGAGGGAAGTCTTTGAAGTTGTTTTTGCCTTATTGGTAACTTGGGGTTCCAAGAGGCATCCACTTTTCCTCCGAATGCTATCGATTGAATGATATGAGTTTTCTTATGGTTAAAAATGGTAACCATGGATCTTCTCTCTTTCTCTGTAACTTCTAACAAAGACACACACACACACACACACAAAAGATGGTGTTTAGAATTAACATAGGCATATAGAGTGATTACAAAAAAGATCTGAGCAATGTCACTTGCCTGACTAGCCAAATCAGTGAACTATGGTTTAAAGGAGACCCTGCCTCAATACACAAGGAAGAGAGAGATCAAAGAAGACAGCGGTGTCAACTTCTAACCTCGACATACATGCACAGGCACCAGTACATATAAGTGTGCCCACATATGAGCACATGTACGCACAGAAATATAACATGTATGACTACCTCGTAAACAGATTTTATGTAGAGATTTTGAAGGTATTAATATAATCTCACAAGCACTCAGTAGATGTCCTCATGTCACATGGTGGAGCTCAGTTGTGTGGTCTAACACACTGCTGAGATGGCACATGGCTGGCATGGCAACAGCAAACATCCTGCTCCCTCAGCACTGTTGGAAAGGGGACAGGTCTTGATGTATCCTCATGCAAACACTTCACACAGTAACAGCCCATGAAGGGTATTTTGTAGACCGTACAATGGAATGCATGAGCATGGTTTATGCATATGCGGCTTCTATATGCCAAAGATGCTTGTTTACATGATCAGGTGTGTATAAGAAGTCACTGTTTAGTAATATGAACTTACAGAATTTCAAGGAAGATAATTTTTAGAATTTAGGTCTCAAGAGATTTTACTATAAATCATTGTTGAGAAAAGAAACCAAAGTGTCAGGGGGTAAATGATTTGGCATCAAGAGCAAGAGAGATGGCTCAGTGGTTAAAAGTACTGGCTGCTCTTCCAGAGGCTCAGGTTCCATTCCCAGAATCCATGGTGGCTCATAACTGTCTGTAACTCCAGTAGTAGGAATCCAGCTTCTTCTGGCCTCTGTGTATACAAGGCATGCATGTGGTATACAAACACACATGTAGGCAGACACTAGCTATATGAAATAATAGCAAATAAAAAACCAATTTGGCACCCACAATACTATTGCCCAAAGCCTGAGCTGCAGGCAAGAACTGTACACCCACCAGACAACAGGTTCTGGTTAAGTAGAGCAGACCTGAGTTCCTAGGGCAAATTTCAGAGAGCTGACCTGTCATAGTGAATAACAGAGGAGCTCTCGTTCACAATCAGTTGACAGTTTTCTTTCATGAGGGCAAAGTGTCACAGGTTTCCTGTATTCTTTAAAGTACTGATTTTCAAAGCAGATTCTAGATGTTTCTGTGGAAAAGAAGAATCCTTACGCTTCTGATCAAGCAGCTCCACTCCCGGAAGGTGGTAGATAACATACAAACGGTAGAGGTTATATTGGGATAAAGGGTTTTGGTGCAGACCTGCAAAGGAAGAATCCAAAATAAGATGTCAGATTTCACAGTAGTTCCTTCTTACCACCTATTAAGATAGAATATGTAAGACTCGTGGACAGTACAAGGATAATCATTGCACAGTGAGCAACTGTACCTATTGTCCAGCCCACAGTCTCATCACATATTTCCTTATATAGAGCACCACTGATTTCCCTATCTATTGTATTCATTCATTCAAAGTTTTCTGATTGGTACTGACCACCAGAAATAGTGCTAGCTTGACTCAGGTTTGACACAAAGGAGGAAGCCTTACTTTGACAAAGTACTAAATGCTAGCTCTATGAACGTCTTCATAAAATACCACTTGCAATTGTTCTGGTCTCTGCAGTAATGCGGGGAGAGGTGCTGGGTGGAGACAGGCAGTGACACAGTACAGTGTCCTAAAGGTTTCTTCCTGAACCACATGCTCAGAGGGTGCACGTGCTGGCCGCACGCCAGATCTCGAGCAGCACACATGTGGGTGCTGCGACTCATCACTTTGTCCGCAAGACTCATGTGGCTAAGGGATGGGTAATGAACCTAATGCTGCATGACAGTGGTGGGGAGGAAGAAGCGGGCGCGAATACTTCAGAAGATCCTGGTACTTCTGCTGTAAGCATCCCTTAAGAAACAGCACGGGGGCACTTTTTAAAAATCCTTCAATTAGTGATATTGAGTGTTTTATTTTCTAGTGAAATATTTTGTCTGTTCATCCTTCCATAACATTAAATGAGACAAGTGAGACACATTGTGAAATGAAATTTTTGATTTCCAGTGTGGCATCTTCAAAATACTTCTGAAAAAACACGTAAAGCTGGGAGCCGCTAGATGGCAGTAGAGCAAAGAGCTCCAGCTACTTCACAGCTATGCTCCTCTACTCATTGATGAATTTAAGAGCACTGCTCTTCGACTGTTAGTAAAACACAGAGGATTTTAATAAATGGCTGACAATATCAAGCATCAGCAGCCCATAAGAACTCATTGACATTTAGAATGCATAGTTTGCAACATGAAGAAGACAGGAGAGGCATGATTGAAAAAGAACAGACTCATTAAAAACTGAAGATAAACAATACCTGGATGTATTCTCTGTCAATAAGAAGACGTTGAGATATGTGTTGTATCGACACGAACTTTTCTGACTAGCCAAACCCCTACATGAGCTTTAGAGAGAGATGAAGTCAGCAATGGCAGAGACCGGCCACACAATGAATACAAAGAAGATGTAGAGCCAGTGGCCAAACAAGCAGGCATGTATTGGGAGAAGTAAGAGAAAATGAAAAAGAAAAAGATTACAGACTTCAGTAACAAAAAAATGGTTTAGGTTTATCTTAAAGGAACTTAAAGCAGAAACAAGTAATGGTCACTATGGGAAGGGAACTAACTGCATGGCTGCGCTTTAAATCGATCTGAAAGGTTGGATTTGAAAAGGCGTGCAGAGATCACCAACTAGCTTGGCTGGGGATGCCAGGACTCGGTCTCTCTCGGCGGTCCCAGCGCTGGACTCACAAGCGCGCACCACCACCGTCCACGGTTTTCCATGGGTTCTAGGGACAGGACACAGGTCCTCATGCATGTGAGACAAATGCTTGACTGAAGTTGCTTCTGACTTCATCTAATTTTAGCCCCGCAGACATAGCAGCAGGCATCGCTGGTGAACAAGGCGGCTACACAGTAAAGCCCTTGTGCTCACTGTGGTTCATTCTATCCCATCTTAAAACAGAAACCATGGGGCAGAACTGTGTACAACTGAGGACATCGCCTGAGAAAAACACGTTGAACTGAATAATTTGGAAGACACCTCAATGTGATTCTTCCCTTTTTCCTAGCTCTTGCATTTCAGAAGGAAGCAATCTTATTTTCCATTGCTTTCCCCTCACCTCCCGCATCTATGCTACTAAGTATTATACTTTCTGAATTTATGTAATTTGGATGGCTGGTCCTAAAATTACCATAAATTAAGTTTCTGAGATATGAAGCCAGTTTCCTGTGTCTGACTGTTCTGAAAGCTTTGTGTGATGTATGGGCACATTCCTGCAGCAGCTATGAAGCAAAATTGCTTACACTTTCGCTTTCAATAGGTTAATACTATTTAATCCGCCTTTCCCTCGAGGCTACTTACAAAGTACACCTCAGTGGCGCCAGCACTGTCTTGCTTATCTTAATTTGGAAGTTGGAGTCTAAGCAATTTACATTTACCCAATAATATATCAAAATGTCTCTGCCACCTTACTACACCAGCTTGAGTTAGATGAGTCACAAGTGTGGAGTTCCTTAATGAAAGACAAGAGGAAGACACACAACGATAGAGTCATTAAATAATTGGCTCCCATTCATTAAAAAAAATGAAAGCAGAACCTAAAAATCATCATGGAAAAGGACCTAGATAGTCTTGTCTTTTTGGTTATAAGCCTTGGCCTTTAACAGCTGAGCCATCTCATCTCTCCATCCCAAAGGCCCAAATAGTCTTAAAACACTTTAGAAAAAAGTTGATGTAGACTGGTCTTATAGCTGGGTGGCTACAGTGCTTGTCTAGCATGAAGCGCCAAGTTCAATCCTTAGCCCCACGTAAAACAAGATGTAGTGGCATATACCTGCAATCAAAGCACAATGGGGGGGGCAAGAGAATCACAAGTTCAAGGTCATCCTTGGCTACTTTTGGAGTTAGAGACTCTTTGCTTTTCTCCAAAGAGGAAAAAAAGAGTGACATAACCAACAAAGAAACACATCTGTTTTAATAGATGGGAGAATCACATGAGGGAATTAAAAACTCAAATGAACATCACCTGGTGGAAGGAAGTTCAGCTTGCTAATTAGTCATCAGACAGCTGGATATTGATGCCACACAAAGCTGGGTCACCATCTCTCCTGCTAGCACTATCTGCTTCTAACCAAATTTGTGGGCTGTCACTCAACACTCTGAGTAAGACAATCTTCCTTGACTTCCTTTATAGGGCAGGAAAGCTGGGGTAGAGCAGAGATGGAAAGGGGGTGAGCATAGCATTCCCTTCTTCACATAAGCAACAGGGATGACCTAGGAGTTCTGTTTACTTCATAGATTGTCTTGTTGGAAAGAGGCAGCCCACGCTCCAAGGCATAGATAGACTCAGAAGAAGAGGCCCTGAGGTCCACCTCTCTCCCAGCATCCTCCTTCCCCATGCCTTTTATCAACAGCTGAGAATAGCACACTGCTGATGGCAAGAAGAGAGAATGCTGGAGTGTAGGACCCGTGGAAACAGAGCTCCTCTAACAAGGCTGGTCCCCGAAACTCCACTAGGAAGGTCGTGCCTGTGACGAAATGCAAGTTGATAAGTGGATTTAGTGAAATGGAGACAATTTGAAGGATGAGGACAAAGTTTAAGAGCAAAGGGGATGGGGTAAGTGCCTTGTTGATGTTTCTCTCGTAGTGTGGTGTGCTGGTTGGTGAGTGTCATGTCAACCCGACACAAGCTAAAGCTCTCTGAAAGGAGGCAACCTCCACTGAGAAGATGCCTCCATCATATTGGGCTGTAGGCAAGCCTGTAGAGCATTTTCTTGATTAGTGATTGATGTGGGAGGGTCCAGCCCATGGTGAGTGGTGACACCTCTGGGCTGGTGGTCCTAGGATCTAAAAGAAATCAAGCTGAGCAAGCCAGCAAGCAGCACCCTCCATGGGCTCTGCATCAGCTCCTGCCTCCAGGTGTGTGCCCTGTTTGAGTTCCTGTCCTGACTTCCTGAGGTGTCAGACTATGATGTGAAGTAGAAGCCAACTAAACCCTTTCCTTCCCAAACTTGCTTTTGGTCACCATGTTTTGCCACAGCAACATAACCCTAACAAGTACATGCTGGTAGAGGAGCAGGCTGACTGAAGGGAGAATGCATTCCTGGCACAGTGGAATGAGACACTAGAGGATTCCCTGTCACAGAATTTGCAGTGCAGAGGGGAAGAGGAAGACAGAGCTGCACAGAGAGGGTGTGGAAAGGTAGACCTCCTGGAGAGCTGAGGTGGGGCCCTGCTTGGCCTGGAAGACAAGAATTCCAGGCACCAGACCTCACACTCTGCTTCTGGTTTCAGGCCTCCCTGAAGTTCCCAGCCCTCCGTCTCCTGGGCAATTGTTGGCAATTTTTCTCATAAATGCCAGAGGAGGGTGCAGTGTTGAAATGGGTTGGAGCCTTACCCCCAGGCTGTTTTCTCACCCTCGGAAGAACTTAGAGATTGAAGTAGTAACACTTTAGATTTTTACATGGTTTTCTTACTTGAAAAGAGAAAACTTACGACATTTAAAAACACACAGTTTTCTCATTTTAATCAGCTGAGTCTATTCTAAGATGGCAAACGAGCCTCCAAAGAACCTAGTGTAAGGACATCATGGTACAAATTGTTAGACATCTTCTGAGTACACACTGTTTCCTTGTGGAATGCCTGCAACAAGACCAGGGCATTGGACCACACGCGCTACCAAGCATTTCAGAAAGTGATTTCTTTTTAACTGAGTTCAAGGAAATGGCCCCATGACATGTTTCTCCAGTGGGACATGTTCCTGTAACTTGAAAGATATCATCATGGTTTTAAGTAGAGGTGATTTTAACTGTCATGACAAGTAGTAACATGGATGTTTTATTACCAGACTGGCCTTTAAAGAATGTGGCTATTTCATCCCTAACCCGGCCTGACACATGTGTTCAGATGTACCCTGAACACCAGAACCTGGGTTGGATTCAGGTATGTTCAGCTCTTAACCAGGCATCTGGGCTCTATGTACAGCCCTGTTCTCTACAAGGGTCAGCATATTGTCCTCTGAATGTTGTTTATAGCACAGTGTTACTTAAGAGATGACGTTACATGCAGCTAATTGTACGAATAGTTTTGCACCAAACTCCTTGATGAGCCTGCAAGTTTTAAACCCTATAGAAGCCCAGAGTAGGCTTTCTTCAGCTTTGGGATATGTGAGTAAAAACAGAAACAGATGGCAAATGTGTGGCTCCCTATGCATCAAATGAATCAATTATGAAGATTGAATGAATCAATCAGTTGATAAATGATCAATAAAACAAGGCATGTATGGGTTTCAACAATAATAATTTCTTAAGTCTCTGAGATTGACCAGTGAGGAGGGAAAAATTCTAACCCTATGATAGAATTGCTGTGAAATTTTAAATAGGATTGTAAGAGAACAATTTGTTAACAGAAAGGACGTCAGAAACATTACTATGGTGATTATTGTTTAAAGCAGCAGGGTTTTCTTCCCTCTTTAAAAAATTTAAATTATAAACAAGCTTGTTTTACATGTCAATCCCAGTTCCCTCTCCTATTCCCTTTCAGCTCCCCAGGTAAGGTATGGCCTTCCATGGGGGATCTTCAAAGTCTGTCATATCATTTGGAGCAGGGCCTAGGCCTTCCCCAATGTCTCTAGGCTGAGAGAGTATCCCTGTATGTGGAATGGGCTCCCAAAGTCCATTCGTGTACTAGGGATAAATACTGATCTACTACCAGAGGCCCCCTATGGGCAATCTATTTGCCCAGGCCTCCTAACTGACACCCATGTTCAAAGGGTCTGGGTCCATCCTATGCTGGTTTCCCAGATATCAGTCTGGGGTCCATGAGCTCCCCCTTATTCAGTTCAGCTGTTTCTGTGGGTTTTTCCACTCTGGTCTTGACCCCTTTGCTCCTCACTCTTCCCTCTCTGCAACTGGATTCCAGGAATTCAGCTCAGTGTTTAGCTATGGGTGTCTACTTCTGCTTCCATCAGCTACTGGGTGAAGGCTCTAGGATGGCATATAAGGTCATCATCAATCTCATTATCGGGGAAGGGCATTTAAGGTAGCCTCTCCACTATTGCTTAGATTATTAGTTGGTGTCATCCTTGAGGATCTCGGATTTCTCTTTAAACCTATAATGGTTCCCTCTATTAAGGTATGTTTTTTTTTTTAAAGCAGCAATTGATTGAGTCTGTTTACCACTTAGCAGAATTTCTAGACTCTAAGCAACTTCCTAATTATTTTATTTATATCCTGCAATACCTTAATTTGGTTTCCCTGTTTCAAAGTAGCATCAAATGAGAAGGTTTTCTTAAGAATTGCTTTGGAGAATTATCTCAGTGTTTAAAGAGTTCTGGTGATAGCTAGGAGCCTGTTTTATAGAAAACAATGATATAGAGAGATCTGGGCCTAGCATACTCTAATTGTAGAAACCCTTGATTGACATGGGAGGAGTAGGTAAATAGGCAGACCAATCCAAGACTCTGATAGAATATCAGAATTCAGAAAAATTCCTAATGGTATATAGCCTTAGCTTATCTCTAAAGTAATCCCTGGCTTGCCAACAACTTGGTGTGATTTTGTGATTTTCACTATTTGGATTTTTAAAAGTCTACTTTTGATTCCACCAGTCATATCTCCTTAAGGACATGAGATGTTCCTGATAACAGTGAAAAGCCCCAGAAGCTTTAGTTCCTCTCTGTGATGATCAGAACCTTTACCACCAACATTAGTTCACACGATTCTGAAAGACAAGGAAGGGAATATGCCTGTGTCTTGACCAGCAGAGTCTCTATGCTCAGGTCTGCAAACCTCATTGGTCAGGAGCCTTTCCACCTCTGACACCTGGAATCATCAGCCTTGTAGCTGTGTGCATGCTTATTAACCCTTTGAGAATAAGCATGTTGAGAGGTGAACTTCACTGATTGTTTTTGATCTGTTCGTAAATATATACAGCTTTCACTTTAGCAGTCACTGTCTTGCTGGGCATGATGAGAATGAAGGCTGTTTCTTAAATGTGAAAATCTCAATGTTGTTTTTGTTTGTTAATTTACTTTATTAATATACCTTATGTCACATATATTTACCCACTTAGAGTGCACAATTCATGCATACTCAGTAGTGCAATTATTTGAACCATTTGTCGCCATAATCAATTTTTAAAACATCTGTCATTCCAAGAGAAACATCATACCCTTTCTATTCCCCCATCACTCTTACTCCCCAATCTACCCAGTCCTGAGATACAAACCCACTTGAGAGCAGCTGCCTCTTGCCTCTGCCTGTGCAGATGTGCCTGTTAGAGATAGCTCCTATAATTGGAATGAAACAACTGACTTTTGAGATCAAAAGCAAAAGAGTAGATTTGGACATACAGATCCCCATTTGTTACTTTTCTCATTTTCACCTTTCATGACCTATCATTCTACTAATAATGATTTTATCTGTCTCTCTCTCTCTCTCTCTCTCTCTCTCTCTCTCTCTCTCTCTCTCTCTCTCCTTTATAAGTTTTAATTTGAATGTTCTTTAAATACCAAAAGATTGGAATATTATTTTTCTTTTTAAGAAATGTCTTGAGACAAAGTCTGACAATGTTTCCCAAACTTGCCTCAAAACTTGTGGTCTTTTTTTTTAATATTTTTTTCTTTTTTTAAATTAAATTAGAAACAAGTTTCTTTTACATGTCAATCCCAGTTCCCTCTCCCTCCCCTCCTTCCTCCCCTGCCCCCACCCCCTCTGCTATCCCAACCTCTTTCTGCTCTCCAGGGAGGGTGAGGCCTTCCAGAGGGGATGTTCAAAGTCTGCCATATCATTTGGAGCAGGGCCTAGACCCTCTCCAGTGTGTCTAGGCTGAGAGAGTATCCCTCTATATGGAGAGAGCTCCCAAAGTTCATTTGTATACTAGGGGTAAATACTGATCCACTATCAGTAGCCTCATAGATTATCCAGACATCCAAAGTGACTTCCTCCTTCAGGGAGTCTGGGTCTGTCCCACGCTTGCCTCCCATACATCAGTCTGGGGTCCATGAGCTCCCCTTTGCTCAGGTCAGCTGTTTCTGTGGGTTTCTCCAGCCTGGTCTTGACCCCTTTGCTTATCGCTCCTCCCTCTCTGCAACTGGATTCCAGAGTTCAGATGTGTTAAGAATAAATTCTAGTTACACATTTCAGTGGCAAGCCTTCTTCTCTAAGCTGAACTTCAGAAAGGAAAACTAACGTCTTGTGCTACCACTGTTAACTTATGGACATAGAAATGCAGTGTGTACTTAGGATCTTCAGATTCTGCATCCCCTTTAGTTCCTTCACCGTAGCGTCAATGTTTGTCAGCTCATTGTGGTGCAACGTAAGAATATGCAATGAAGGCAAATTATGCAGGCCTAAAAAACAAAAATATTGTTGGATAAATTTTACTTTTTAAAGCGACAAATATAAATAAGAATCTTTTCACAGTAATTGGATGTTGTAGCTCATAAAAAGAAATGTCTATCAATGATATCCTGAATTATAATTAAGCATACAGCAATAAAAACTGGCTATGATGTGGGGCTGTAAAGCCATTTCTTGCTACTGTTGCTGCTTCAGTCATTTTACTGTGGCAGTGATTTTGATTGTTTGAATTTCATGTTTGAGTTATACTTTTTCTTTCTGTTTGTTTTTGCAATGTGGGTGCCTATACATGTAAACCACTACTTAGAATTGTAATACAAATCAAAGAACGATTTCTCATTTATTTAATACATTCTTTTCAAATTGCTTAGCTATTTGTAGAATGGAAAACCATATATTCATTTCATATTTGTGTTCCTGAGTTGCACATTTTAATTCATTTTTTAACATAGATGAAAGTGCGATGAATCTATATGATAATCAAATTATAGTTGAATTGGATTGTTTTCTTCCTTACCAGTTTAAGAGCTTATTATGGGTGTGAAAATGTTTGACATTTTGGTCTCATCGTTATTTTATAACCAAGTGCTTTCTCATCATGTTTCCTGATCACGACCTGTCATACACTTTTATGCCTGGCTTGAAATTGTCGGCATAGAGACTGCTATAAAATTAAGTCAGTGGAAACAGGAACTTGGCTGATAAAATCAAAGCCAATAAAAATTCTAAGATAATGTATAGTTTTTATATTTATTCTTACTCCTAAATGTTGCTAAAGTTGGGTTCCAGAGTAGCTAGTTTGTGTCCGACTATACAGTAGAATGGTGCTACTATATAAAAAAAAAATCCTTTTAAATTTTGAGTAAAACCTTTAATATTGAACTAGAAAAATGTTCTAACACATTTTTAAGAATTAAATGTACATATGGAATTTTAAAATAGATATTACATATTTAGTAGACATGGTGAAAGAGACTTTTGTATGTTGTTAGCAATCATTACAGTTCAAAGTTATTATTTAATTGAAAATTTGTTCAATCAAGAAAGTTTGAGTCGTACCTTCTATCTCATATATTTCATTGTTGTGTAGATACAGTTCTGCCAGACAATAGTTTCTAGTTAGAAATGCTATTCCATGTAGCTGAAATGAAAATTTATATTTTTGTAATCATAAGGCAACATAAGTGTGGCTTCTAACAGCCATTATTACTGTGGCCATTTGGACTGGGCTACAAGTTGTACCCAAACTACTTTTTGTTACAGCTGTGTGATAGAAAGGGTGTTTTTAAGCAACTTAACAATAAAGTTTTCTGAGCACATTTGGGCCCAGCTGTCCCTGGCTTTCAGAGCTGCTATCACCTGGCCCCAGATTTTCTTTCTAACTGTAATTACCCAGTTGTGGCCTGAATGGTATCACTGGACTTCTGCACACCAAGCCTTCATCTGTTACTGTGGAGAGCTCTCTAAGAAAATGTACAACCACATCTCTATCTGTAGGGGCTATGGCTTCTCTTTGCCCTCACATCCTTTCTTCTAGGTACATTTCTGATCACGTGTAAGAATCAGATCTAGGTCATCAAAACACACCAAACCATGCCATAGTACATTTTCACAATTCTGGAGAGTCTCTCAAATAATTCTTTGATCGTCCTTGCATCTCCCAACTGTTTTATTGCTGTGTTTTGCCATCTTTTGTATTTCTCTGGATATCTCTCTGGTCCAGAACTCATTGGTAATGGCCCAGTGCTAAACTTTCTTCTTGCCCTGCTCTCCAGTACATCTCTTCTGCTGTTTTAATATCCTTTGTATCCACAGAAACAAAGGTATTTGTGACCTAAATAAAGGAGACAACTCCACTAAGCAGGGCTGGTGCTAACAGCTCAGCAAGCCACAGCCACAGTCAGAGCATGAGGCACAGCATGGGCCTGCCCTTTCTCTGCTTTTCTCTTGGTTCTTTTTCCCTAGGCCTTCCCGTGGTGAGTCTTGGTCTTCTTGACCATGTCTGCAGTTTACTGGTACAATTATATCCCAGCACTGCAATTTTGTGTCTTCCCTAAGGAAAGGAGCCACGTCCTTCTATTCTCCTTCCCACTGCCATGCTCATCTAACAATAGAGTAAAACCCAATCTTAAAACCCAGCCACAGCCTTTAAAAGAAATGTTTTGCTTGCATGAATGTATGTGCACCACGTGCATGCCTGGTGCAGGGTCCTGTGCTACTGGGGTTACAGGTGGTTATCAACTACTACATGAGTGCTGGGGCTCAAACCCATGTCCTCTGCAGGAGCAACAAGCGCTCTACACCACCGGGCCGTCACTCTAGCCTCCATCCATGATGGGAGATGTCCTTCTGGAGGCTGTGAATATTTGTTTCTTATTGGTTGATGAATAAAGCTGTTTGGGCCAATGGACAGGCAAAATGTAGTCAGGTGGGAAATCCAAACAGGGATAGAGGCACAGTCAGTGAGACGCCATGTAGCTGCCGAGGAAGCAAGAGGCCTGGATATCACTGGTCAGCCAAGACCAAATGGAGATACACAGATGAATAGAAATGAGTTAATGATTAAGAGAGAGCTAGCCAATAAGAGGCCTAACAATCAGCCAAACTGTTTATCATTAATATAAGATTCTGTGTGTTTATTTGGGACTGAATGGCTGCAGGGCCAGGCAGGACAGAAACTTCCATCTACACAGCCCATATCTTATTTTTAAGATTTGTTTCAAAATTCAAAAGGACAATAATACTCTTAAAAAGTCTCAGGTGCAGAGTTACATGCTACATATGTACATGCATACATACATACATACATACATACATACATACATACATAGGTATGAATGCTTTGGGTACTCAGTGCTAAGCCACATGTCAGAAGACTTCACTCATGTCATCACAATGTGAATACTGTTACTCTAGAAATCATGTTTCAAAATTTCTTACACTTTAATTAATTTATTTTTGTGCATATGTATGGGTACATGTATGGAGGTTGGAAGACAAATTGCAGAAGTTGCCTCTCTCCTTCCACCATGTGAGTTCTGGGAATTGAGCTCAGGTCATCAAGCTTGGTGGCAGGTGCCTTTACCCTCTGAGCCACCTCCCTGGCCCCCAACTCTATAATCTCAATAACAACAACAAAAATCATTTCTTTGTTTGAATTATGGTGAGATATAGTAGAGCACAGGACACAGAAAGATATTTTTTAATGGTAGCAGATAATTAAATTTAAGAATTTTTGCTTTTGAGGTAACCCAATCACAAAAAGACAAACATGATATGTACTCACTCATATGTGGATTTTAGACATAGAGTAAAGGATTACTGTAGGGGAACCTGTAGCCACGCCTGCTTAGGGTCTGCCTGACCACGCCCTCGGGTCTTCCCTACAGATTACCAGTCTACAATCCACACTGCCCGATATACTAGTAAACAAGGAGGACCCTAAAAGAGACAAACTTTGTCCCCTGGAGAAGGGGAAAGGGTCACGATCCCCTGAGCAAATTGGGAGCATGGGAAGGGGGGGAGGGAGCTACAAGAATGAGAAGGGAAGAAAAGGAAGGATGCAGAGGTCATGAGGGAGCAGAAAGGTTGAGTCAGGGGTAGATTAGAATAAAGGATATGTGATAGGTAGAGTTTTAGTTGGGGGGGTAGGGGAGGACAGGAGGAAGAAGGGAACTGGGATTGTCATGCAATTCCATCTTGTTTGTAACTCAAAAAAATTTAAAAAAGAATATTTGCTTTATGCTCAATATAGGACTATACTATATATGCATAATGCCAGGGAGAGTGTCCTCATGAAATAATTACTAATCAAATTTTACATGATTTTTAAATATAGAAACACTTGATCACAGATATAAACTTATTTTTCCTAAAGCTAGAACCTGTTATTATTGGTGAGACAGATCTGTTTTACATTTGATGAGTAGTCAGTTATATAGATGTCAACCCAGCTGTCTTGAAGCACTTATTGGAAGTAAGTGTCCCTCTGCTTTGGCAAATTTTCTTCAACTTCTTATATTGGCAGTGCTCACAATTTATGATGCCATAATAGGCACACATACTACTCATCTTATTTCCCAGGCTTGTCTCTACCCAATCATGACGGCATTCACTCAGCACAACTAGTGCTAATGCTGCCACAGCTTCATCAAGACCAAAGGAAGCATGACTTCCCAAAGTAGGAAGAACCATCCCAAGCAGGAAAGGAAGTCCCCTTGGCTTCCTGTCCCTTTGTGCATTTCCTACTGGATTCTGGCTGGAATCCACTGCCTTCTGTCCTGTCCCCTCACCATATCCTGCTCTAATAATAGCCAGCAGTGTGGGAATCTTACACCAGTCACTCTCCTGATACAAATTTATAGCCATTGCTAAAGACTTGAGGCTTCTTTCTCTTGAATTACTGATCCACATAAGAAGAATGTGGTCAATCCTGACAGTGTCAACTCAGCTGTAGAATCCTAGTTTTATCAGGATAGTAACATTTATAGGTCACGATTATTGAGATATAAAGAATGTTGGGTGTGTTGAGGTAAGCAGGATGAGGTGGAAAGGAAAGAAATTAGGCCAGATCAGGACAGCTCTGGGAAGCCATTCAAAGACATGGAGCAGGAGAGCATCACCATCCAATTTCATGTCAGAAAGAAAGCTTCAAGATAAAATAGTGTGTTTTGGCGGGAGATAAGTCAGGAAGCCATTACTGTAATCAGGAGAACTTATAAGGTCCGAAGTAAACTAATGGGAATGGAAGAAAATGAGATGGTTCCAAGGTATAATTCTCATAATTTAATAGAATGGAAACTTAGCAGGTTGTTAAAGCCAGAAAGAGAATGAGAAGATCATGATACATCATTATTAAAATAAAATGGTAACATAGTTACCCATTAAAAATCTACATTTTTCTTTCTAAGGAAGAATCTTATGGTAGTAAGATTTATATTTATTGCAACATTCACAAATCACAGACCTTAATTTAAAGCTTGGCATTGTATATATTACATTGTATATATTTCATTACAATGAAAGCAAGTACTTTTCATTCATTATTTAACCACTGTTATTAATTCATATGAGCTCTTGCATGGAAAATACTTTTAAAAGATGCTGGGGTAAATGAAGACCAGTATGCATAAAAAACAAAGTAGGCACAAAGTTCTAGAGCAAGGATGCTCCGTCTTTGCTACTGCTGGCCATTTGGATTAGATAATTCTTGGTTGGTCTTGGCATGGGGCAACCTGGACACAGAAGTAGTATACACAGTAACATCCCTAGCCCATAACTGGTAGGTGCCAATAGCATACACTTTCCAGTGTGACAATTACAATCCTCTGAACAATATCAAAGTCCCCATGTACAGGAATAAACAGCTTAGAGTTGAGAGCTGGTAATTTAGGAGCAAGGAGAAGAAATAAATAGAATGTGGGCTGGAAAGATAGCTCCATAGCAGTTAAGAGCACATATACAGAGGATCTAATGCCCTCTTCAGATATTTGCAAGTTCATGCACACATGTGGGGTACACACATACACAGGAAATAAACAAATATTTCAAAAAGAGGACATTCATTGCTTACTATAGGTAAGGCATTAAGACAGATGATTTTGCAAATATTTTGTAGTATGTTCTTTAAGGAAGGATCTTTTTTCTCTATTATTTTTATTTAAATTAGAAATGAGATTGTTTTACATGTCAATCCCAGTTCCCTTTCCCTCCCCACTTCCCCTGCCCCCCACTAACTCCCTATAACATACCCTTTCTGCTCCCCAGGGAGGGTGAGTCCTAAGGAAGGATAATATTATTTATTTAATGTTCTTTATTTTTTCTACCATATGCCCAGGAGGAAATTATAGCTCAGAAAAATTAAACAATTTTCTGAAGGTACAGAGTGTGTAAATAGCAAAGTCAAGATTCAAATCTAAGCCTGACTGATGCTCCAGTCAAACACTGGCAAGAGTCAGGCTCTTTAGTTGGTGGTACATCTGTATACATGACCTATAAGTCATTCACTTGGAAACTAGGTTAAGTCATGAAAATTATTCTATAAATTATTTCTTATATTTTGGTCTCCACCTCCCAAAATGTCTCAATATATCTCAAATAACTGACCCGAAATATAAAGAAAAAGCAAATCCCTTATATATG